ACCGAAACTGAAAACGAATTTCGGCAACGGTGTCAGTTTCGGCCGAAACCGAAACTTCCTTACAAGGATTATGTTTTGAGGGAAAAATAATGAAAACGTTATAGTAATCAGTCAGTTTTTTTTAAATCTTTAAATCACAACGTTATGCAGTCTTCGACATTTTTACATATTGATAATCAACAAATCAACATAACAACCCATTATTTGAGAAAAAAATATTAATTGCACCTTAAATCTACTCAAAATAGATGAGGTGTTTATTTGAGTAGGTGTAGATTCTTCTTTTGAATATTATTAATGGTTTTTCAAAAATATTAAACATAAAATTACTTATTTAAGTTGTTATCTAATATCAAACTAGGTAATTAATTTTCATGTAATAAACGAAGTAAGTCACGACATGATTAGGCACGTGGACGCGGCAAAATGTCTTCGTCACTTGTATGAAATTCAACGCGCCGAACATGACCGATCACATCGCGAGAACTGCCGAATGTAGTTTCGGTCGTAGTTTCGGCAGATTTGCCGCCGAAACCGAAACCCGTTTTTTTGCCGAAACTCGACCGAAACCGAACTTTCGGTTGGGCACTATACTAGGAAATTTCTGGGAAGAGGCATTCTGACTCACGATAATTTGGCTTCATATAATAATTTTTCGAATTGTCCAGGAAATTGTCTAGGAAATAACCTGACTTCGAGTCAGCAACATTTGAGTAAGACACATTAAAAAAAACAAATAATTTGCAAGTTATTTGTGCTTTCGATTGAATATGATATATGTAATTTCGAAATAATTATGTGAGACAGAATTTGAACGTGAACTGATTTTAGACCGGTATTCAGGTCTCGCCATACACATATCATAATAATCTGTTAGAAATCATTCCCTGCATTTTCTCTATGTTTGAAGGCTTCTTCATCGTCCACACATCAACCACCAGAAATAGTCAAGGAGGAAGAGGAACTCGATGAGGCTCCTCTAGAATCTCTTGATGAAATTGACAAAGTTTTCTACGGCGTCTTGAATGTGCTCAGAAGAGAACGAGGAGAAGAAGAAGAACCATACGCCGATGAAGCAGAAGCAAGCAATGACGAAACTATCAGAGAAATGGAGCAGTTCAGACCAGACTTAGAAATGGACCAAGATAGACCAAGTACCAGCGAGGCGGAGGATAATAGAAAAAAGAAGCGTGAAAAGATCGACAGTGGATTGGGTGATGAAATCGTTGAGAATCATAGTGAGACTTCAGAAGGTAATGTCGAAATATAATATTTTCTTTGGGCATCCTGAAATTATAATTCAAAAGTTTCAAGCAGCGGCAATGTTTCTTAATATAGGAAAATTCTTAAAATTCAAGAACATTTCAGTTTACCTCTTTTAAAGTGATTTCTTTATGTGAAACAAATATTGAACAATGTTTAGGAACAAATATAAGCAGCACATCTGTTTCTTGAAAATATTAATAGATTATGAAAACATGCCAAGTTTATCACAAATCTGATTTAATTTTCTTAATGTTAATGGCGATATGAGCACAGCAATTATTTCATTAAGGTAAGTTGAAAAAACTTTAGTTGTCAAACCAATGTTACATTTTTTACACTTAATTGCGTAATACACTGACCAAGTTGTTGGTTTGCTTTTAGGGAAAGTTTCTTGCTATTTTTTGCGTATTTAAACTTCCACGATCTGAAAAATAAACAAAGCTGAATCAATGGAGAATATGCTGAAGTGTAATAAAGGATAAACTGATAAGTTTACTGCATAATAATAATAATAATTTTTATTTTCATTTAAAAAGCATAAATGTATAAGCAGTAACTGACAAAAACGTCATAATTGATATAAGAAAGAATTTCCAAGATGCAAACACAGTCATAAGTTACGAATATAAAAGAACTAATATATACAAATATATGGAATTATACACCCTCGTAAATAAATATAATTATGACATAAATTTATCAATACTGTAACAGTTTTCATCAATCAGTAATGCTTTGAGACTGGATTCGAAAATATTAATATTTGGTGAGTTTTGGATAGAGTCATCAAGGTGGTTAAAAACTTTGCATCCCAAATATAAATAACTTTTTTGGTATAGGTTAGTTCTGTGCAAAGTGGACACAAGAAGATTTCTGGATCCAGTGGCTTACTGATGTTCTGTTCTATTGAAATATTTTTGCTTATGTCTGTATACATACATACAAAGTTCATGAAGATACATGCCTGTCACACTTAAAATTTCTTAGTCGCTTAAAGACCTCTTTACATGATTGCCTCCACTTCAGTCGTGCCACAATTCTCACAGTAAATTTTTCATAGTGAAAATACTTGACTAAGAGGCACATGTACCCCAGTCAAAAATACCATATGGCAGTTGATGTTTTCATAATAAAGCATTGAAAAGATGTTTTTGTGACAATGATTTGATAGAAACTTCAACACATTTTTTCCTAACACTGACAGAAGAGTAATCCAGTCTGACTCTTACTGGAGTGGGTGTAAAATATCTATCAATTTTCTTGACCATTCCTCTAACTGATAATTCTGTTTCGTTCTCTTTTAAGAAAATTTCTGTTACTTGGTTGGGTGTCTTTTTTATTTGGTTAACGAACTGCCATGTGGTTTTTGTTTTATTAGTTGAGTTGGCTATCCTCAGAGCGATTGTTTTTTTTCCTATCTTCTTGCAACTGTTGCCTGTAGCTTTTTTTAAACTGCTGGCTGGCTATATGATGCATCAACATTAGCTATTTGAAAATATAGTGTAACCAATTCTTTTAGTTTGATAATATCATGCGGTACCATTATTATGTTATGAATTGACCCCGATTAAATGCGTCTCATAGGAAAAGATAATTCAACATAGTACAAAATAGTTCTGTAAAAAGTATCGTCTGCTGCATTAGGACATGTTAACCACTAAATAATCCAATATTCAGTAATTTATCTTATTCACAATTTTTGAAAATAACCAAAAATTCTTTTTTCTGATCTCAAGTTAGTCGTCTCCCTACTAATAGCTCAACTTCTGGTATACCAATGTAAGACCACCAAGTTCAGACAAGATTTGACAAACTTGAATTATACCATATTGGGCTTATCTGTGATAATACAAATAAAAATGGGCTCAGGACGGAACAGGAGAATAAATTAAATAGAACACATAAAAATATTCATATACTAAGCGAGAAAATATTGGTTCTTGAGTGTATCAGGAGACGAAAGTATCATCAAAACTGAGTAACCAGAATCATTTTGACCTCTTTTCTGAATTTATTGTAAACATTAATTTCTTTCATTTCAACTGGCAGGTGATTGAACAGTTTGATGCCATTGAAAATAAAAGAGTTCCTAACTAATATAGGGAATAGGCAGTACAATATTGCTATTGTGTCTGCGGGTTTTATGAGAAGAAGTGTGGATCACACTAGACGAATAATATTTCTTTATTGAATAGCAGGTTTCCAAAATGTATGGGAAGGTTACTGTTAAAATACCATAGCCTAGTCCTGTGGAGATGACTGTCAGCGAGTAGCAGCCTAAAGCAAGCTTCTTGCTTAAGTTTATTGTATGGTCCTTGAACTTCTGCCATATTCCATATTCAGCCCAAGAAATTTATAAGTATGTATACTTTCTGAGATTTCGATACCAAGGCAGATCTCCGGTAGGGGCAGCAAATAGTAAGAATGCTGGTTTCATTGATGTTGAAGAATAACTTATTACATTCTCACCATTCTTTAATTTTTTTGATGTCTTCAGAGATGATCTCATGCAGAACAGCATTATGCCATAATAATGTGGTGTCGTCAGCAAAGAGGGTGATTGTGGCTGATATATCTATGAGAGCTAAGTCATTTATATAGATGAGAAATAGAATTGGATCAAGGATCGATCCTTTAGACACTCTACATTTGATGCACTGTTCAGAAGAGCATTCCGATGTTTTTACTATTTGTTTGCGGTCCAATAAGTATGATTGGAACCACTGAAGGGTGATGCCTCTGAAACCGTACTTCTGCAATTTATTCTTGTTATTTTTCATAAAAATATGAGTAGTTACATTTACTTATTAGAAAACAATACAGAGGATATTATTGCAAATAACTGAAGGAGTTATTTTTTTATTGCAACTTACAATAGTAAAGGATCCATCAATCTGTTTGATATCTATACTTATGTATTCAATGAATTTCAGGAGTTATTTGGTGCTCAACAAATTTTTTACTATTTGTTTCTCGGTTGCTATTTTAGTGTTTTACAAAAATTGTTTGTGGTGATTTTTATGTGATTTTTTATAAATTATTCCTTTCTGTTCACAAAAAGGGCTCGAAATTTCCTAACTATTAACGCAGGCAACACAAGGACACTCGATGGATATCAATTTGAAGTCCAATTCATGCCCGAAGGATATTTTATGGACTTTCAAATTATACCAACCTGACCGCGTTTATAACATATCATTAAATTTTTGGATATGTTAAGGATGTCCATAGGATATTCATTCCAAGCATATTAAGGGATATGTTATGGACATATATGTCCAAGGTTATGACGACCTGGTTTGACATGACTTGGATATCCGGTGTTATATGGTGTAGTTCATTTCAAACATATTTTATACTTTTATAAATATTCCCCTTAAATCACATATTACTTTTATGAAACTATTTTTTTTACAAATCAAGTATTAATATTGACCAATCCTACTGACTGTTTTGTTTTCAGAGATTAGCATGTAGTCTTAGTTAGATATTTGTACTAATATTTTATCTCGTGGGTGAACCAAAAAATAATTCCTGTTCTACATATCTCCATTTATGAGAGTGTTTTGTTGGTTCACTCATTATTATTATTTTAGGAGTGAAATTGCGAAGCTTGTGGAAATTTTATACCATCATGATGCATTAATTTTTTTAAATGATTTATTTTCACCGTGGTTGATGTTTATTGTGATATTTTTGTTTGTGAATTACTTCTATTTCATATATTATGGAGATGAGTTTATGGAAAATGTATAGTTACTACTAAGTGACGATTTTTGGGACTAATACATTTAAATCAAAAAATTGATGTTGAAGTTTCATTTTACAAGCCTTTATTAAACTTGAAGTGTTCGAATACGAGTTTGAGGTAAATTCAGCAACTGAATTTTAAAGCACTATCCTCGACCGGTTGAGCTGAAATTTCATTGACACATTTAGGTTGAATAACAAGAGACTTCATTCTACATCCAATAAAGCGTTCCACCCAAGATGGTTATTTTTTATGTACTTCCATGATATGGTTATCAAATGAAGGGGTTCAAGGGGAGCAATTCAAAATGGTAGAAAAAAAACGTTATAAAAAAATTCTTTAATTTACTAAAAAAAAAAGTAAACTTTCAATTGAACCGATTAATTTATTACATTACACAGTATATGACAAAAGCTTGTCATGGCATTTACTTATGTAACTGAGCAAGAAGTATGTAACTTGATCTTGACTAAAGTAATTCTACAAAAAATGCTTTTTTAAATGGGTAGATTTTGCAATTAACTTTTTTTTACTTTATACAAGTTATGTAATGTAATACATTGATGGGTTACATTTAATTTAAAGTTTCTTTAATTTTTTTTTGGAGTATGTGAAAGAAAGCTTGTTTACTATTGATTCATTTCAAAAATTCTCAAGAGAGTTTAACTTTTTGAGTGTTTTTACCTACTTGAGAGAATGTAGTATAGTAAATCATTTGAGCAAGTAGTGACCATTTCTTGTTAGTAGACTACTCATACCAGGAACATTTCAAAATGAAATTCATTTGTGTTATCCCAAATGAGTGATATTGAGTTTCATAACTAGAAGCAACCTGGTCAAAAAATTGAAAACTACCTTCATTTTAATTTGAACCCTGTATCACTGGTTTAATAACCCCAAGTTCAAGCAACTGTTCCATGTGAAGCTATTTGAGTTTCTGACCACTTTCATTTTGTTATAAAGTGGCGAACTTTATTGGAAAATATAAACATTTTTGCTATATTACAAATTTCTGGTGAGGTACTCACATTTTCATGCTTTCGTTTCTGATATTTACTTCATCTCCTGAAGACGCCAACTTGTTTGGTGAAACACGCGTGAATAAGACTTGCAGTTCTGGTGTTAGGGACCAATTCTTGTTTTGGATTTATTCTACTCCAGAGGATCTAGTCCTACCTTTCATTTTTATAATTGTTTTTCAATATAAAATTTATTTTTTACAATAAACTATAAGTGCAATGATTAAAATTGATATTTGTGAACAGTTGTGAAGTAGGTATAGTCTATACATCTATGCAAAGTCAATCCGAACAACTAAATAAAAGACTAATGTACCAGGTCTGATAAATGTACTAGTTGATACCATATAAAACCTCACATAAAAAAACTAATGATTAGATAAAAAAGTTACTACGCCGCCCATGCTATACAAAGAAACTGCCGACGTTCGGTACCTATTCAGTTTTTATGCTATTAGAATTATCATGTATACCTAGTATAAATCATCGAGGTGCACTTGCAGATGAAAATCATTCAAACGTTAAGGTAATGAATTTGCTCATCTGTTATTGGCCTTGAAGGTGTTGAGTTATGTTTCTTCTCAACTGTGATTGATTCAAAGGTGGATCATTGCCTACATACCCAACAAGATACATTGTTCTTCAACTAACAAATAAGAGTAGTGAAGTAATTCGTTCATATGTTCAAAAATGATATTTAGGGTCAATTCAGGTCTTAGATATAATTATGGCTGAGCTAAATTTGTGTTTCTATTAATAATGTGATTTATTATCTGAAGAAATATTAATTGTATACTCTATAATGTTATTCTATCTTAAACATTCAAATGTAATACTACAAGTTTTAGGTTCAAATTTTATTGGACTTACTGAAAAGGAATTGGTGTTGTTTGGTATTTTCATTTTATACCGTTTTTGTCCAGGTGATGGCTTAATGAGTAGTAATAAATAATAATTCAACAAATGTTTGTCCAATCTTGAAATTTCAAAAAGGAAAATGATCGTTGGAAGATGCATTTTATGTACATGAGGCAAGTTGAAGCCTTTTGCTGGCCCATTTTAATGGGAAAGTGCTCAAGAGTTGTAAAGCTGTTTGTATCATAATTATAATATAATTTTCAAGGTAAAGAAGAAAAACAACAATATATTCTTTTTCATTGAAATGGTATCTGGTGTAGGAAAAGTTTTTTCCATAAATTTATTTCACGTCAGAGGTTTCAATTCTACTTATCACATGTACTTTTTGTCAAGTTTATCAATTTTTATGTTGAAAAATCCTCACTGTCAATGAGCATGTTTGTCAACAGCTTGTGATGCACCTTTGGTGTAGTAATGAATATTACTGGAGTTTTTCCCAACACCAAACCATTATTTTAATACCTCGACACGTGTTTCGATCACCAAGTGACCATCTTCAAGAGAAATATTAAACTTAAGAAGATTAATGTTTGATGTTCCTCTTGTAGTAGATCACTTGGTGATCGAAACACGTGTCAAGGTGTTAAAATAACGGTTTGGTGTTGAGAAAAAACTCCAGTAATATTCAAGCTTTAAATTTCATTGAGACATGGTCTGCAGCTGTTTCTACCATCATTCAAATATTCTTTCAATCCTCTTTTCAGGAGGATTAAAGTCAAAAACAATCAAAATTTGTATAAAAAGGCGAGATGTTAGGTGAACGTTTTTAGAGACTGTGTAGTCTGCAAATAAAAAAAAATAGTTTGGGTCACAGAAATTACATTTCACTTATGCAAACTTCTTGCCCCGTCAACTCAAATTAATTCGTTTGAAAGATATAAGGTGATTAATTCTAATGGATACATCAAGCCTTATTTGAGAAAATACATTTATTAACATAACCCTCAAAGTGGATGAAACTATTTTCCTATTTATTTTGACTAGCCCAGGAAAATAGTCATTTGTGTTAGACATTTGGCTGATCATACTGTGTAGGAAGCAACGTTGGGAGAGGTGAATAAAGTTCAATTCAAAATATTTACTTTCTTAACACCACAAGGTGTTTTTAAATCACAGGCACAAATTTCAATCACTAATGCTTTAATGATTACATTAGTGAATTGTTTTTTGTATCACAGAAGACAACGTCTATACTACAATGATAAAAACTTGTTCCTAATTTTCATTCTTCTCTTCCCACGGCCTGGGCCCTCTAACCTGCTCCCAGTTATCAATATCTAGTTTTTTCATTTTTTCGAATTCTGTTTCAATGGTTACTTCTCCGGGTTTTTTCATTTCAATACCATATTTTTCGAATTCTTCGGGCCTCACTTTTGATACTTTTGAAAATTGATACCTAAGCTGGGCGAACTCCTTCAGTCCAAAAGAACCCCCAACAACCAGCACAAGAAATGGGAGGCCATATTTAACTGATCTCTGATTCAGAAAAGCTTTAATTTTTTGTGAAAACTGGGCCATTAATAATATGTAATTTGAAATACTAAATAAATAATTTTGTTTTAAATCTTATCAAAAAATTTAAAAATTAAAACAGGTTACTTCGAATCTTCTTCTATTTTCTATTATTAACTAAGTGGCTTGAGCCACAAGAGATGTTCAGTCATGAAACTTAGCTAGGTTAACGGTAGTGGATAATTATTAGGTTCCATGAGTTTATGAAAAAACGTAATAGACAGTGTATAACTTTCAGTAGAGAAATTATTACATTTTATGTTGGCTACAGTCGATGTCGACTGTCTCCTCTTTAGTCAAGTGTAATATGCTCTATTATGATTATATTAATAATTGGTAAATTAATAAAAAAATGTATGTGTATACCGTGTATTTATGTACGTGTGTGCATTCCCAAAGGTTTATCCAGTTCCTAATAGGTAAATATTGAAAGCTCATTACAACGATAGGACGTAGAATCCAAACTGAACTGCTTCATCTACTTGATAAATGGCGACATCTCGGACGAATAACAAATATAAAGTTGCTCTATTTCATGCTATAGGCTTTGCAGACAACCTTGATTCAAAACAAGAACCAAAGAAATGTGCAAAGAAACAATGAAATGATTGAGTCTGCCGGACCCCGTCCGGTGTGTACTGACAAAAATCGATCTGATATCGCCTATGATAGAGGTTTCAAACAACCCGCTGATATTTTGTCTTCATTATGAAAAAGGATAGGAGAGCATCTCTATATTTTCTATCATCCATCTCAATATTTTCTATCATCTACCCGATGATAAATTTTTGGGGGGTCCTGTGATACCTCGATAAATTCCTACACGGCTTATGTGAATTCAGTTTTTTATATCAAAAAGGGTCATTTATTAATATGCTGTATACATGATAAACGTAAAATCAACCCCTACCCCAAAAATTGAGTCTAGGTTATTCATTTTTGTACGGTTAATTCTATGTTTACCACATCATGAATTGATTTGTTCATGACATCATCAAATAAGTGACCAGTTATGATATAAAAAACTAATTTCACGAAAGCCGCACAGGAATTCATTACCTTTGAATATATAGAGGTTACTTTTCCGAAAATGAAAATTTTTCAATAATTTAGAAATTTTGTACAAACAGCCACGTCAGCTGTACAAAAACCCCAACGAATAGTTGTCGAAGAAGGCGTCTAGCAAGTGTGGAAAGCTACAAGAGAAAAAAAAGGTACTAACGTAACCACAGTTTCCATAATTTCTGTATCTATTCTAATCCTTCAGTACTGATTTTTCTACGTATTAATTTCAAAACGCAAATGACTCATGGAGCTTCCCCCGGCACATTTGGCTTATCCATGCCTACCGGTTGGTTGACACCAACACTCTTTGCCGAAAATATTGAGCATTAAATTTGCCACAGTTCTGGAGAGAACCCTACCCTATTAATTTTATAACAACGTAGAAAGCCACTCGTCCCTGGAACCTTTCATGCTATGCAAGGAAAATGGCACCTCAGTTTTGACCTTCTCATTCATCCAATAAAATGCAAACACTGTATGTTGCTGTTTTTGGGTAGTCGAGGACTTATTATAATGCTGCTCTTGACTGCAATATAACTGCAGGTTTCAAAAAAAGTGGGATACATCCAATTGAGAGATGCTTTCAAAGACGTAGACTTCCTGTGCAATTATTTGACTGATCGACCGCCTCCTAGCTTTGTGGATGATCAACCACCTGTAACAAAAGGTTATACTGTGCCAAGTGAGTCGCTCAATGGCTCTCCCCCACAAGTAAAAGAAGGCTTAGCTTTAAACCATGCAGAAATCAGTGCCCTCGATCCAGAAGCTGGTCCAAGTCAAGCTCTCCTCTTTACTGAAGATTTTACTGGTTATTAAAAAGCAGGAGAACGAAAAACTGCTCAAAAGAATATGATAGCTAGGAGCACTTCAGAAATGAGAGCTATTACAGACATATTGGAGCTGATTCCACTTTTCAAGAAAAACGCAGTCAAAAGGGAGGGTGTTTGGACTGAAGAAAAAAATCTGCACAAAAGAGGATGTGAATGCGTCAGAGGATGATGACTAAGACGTTCCATATGTAAACACAGACGACGACATGGACATGGACATGGATGAGAATTTGTTGCTGTTGAGCCAGACCACTTTGCATATCATATATGTTGGTTGAATTGAAAACCAAATCCCAACCAACCTACGTTGGTTGAATCACCAAGATGAGAGATGATGAGGGAGACTAAAAGGTCAAATTTCTTTGATATGAAAAATGCAACACCTTCGTTGAGCCTAGTGTAGATGACATTGTCTCAGTTGATGACACAGATATTAAGAAGTGGCTGGAAAATTCGTTTGTAAATGAGGGTTGTGTTTCATCCGGGGTCAATTTCAGTGATTTGAAAACTGAATTAATAAAATGTAAAATTATTTTACTTTCGTGCCTTAATATTCCTAATCGAACGGTCACACGTGATGTACAAAATAATGATTGACGGATTTCTTTCATAGACTATACCCAAAGGTAACAGGAAAAAATGAAAAAGGTGAAAAAAAGTCTCACGGGGGCAGTTATGGACAGAACCGACTTTTGTGTTTCATCCTTCCCTACTCTATTTAGAAAATGGAAGCGTCGAAAATTAAAGTGATAAAACGTATAACGAAACTGGTGGCACTCCTCTAATTAGAGAAGTGCGAATTCTTTTCGAATCTTCCAAGATTAAATATAATTTAAAGTTCATCATCATCTCTAACTTTATAAAACTGTAGGTATGTATATTTTGACTTTTAACTACAATAATTTTTCAGCGAAAAAATGAACTCCAGTTTGTTCCATTTTGGATAGAATTACCTGCACCAAGTTTATTAATTGAGTACATTTGCAATATGAATTATTAGCTCTCAATTCTGTAATAGAAAATTAATGATTATTTGAAAGCGATAATTGAAGATACAAATAATGGATTAACCTATCTCCAATAAAGTTTATATCATGTTTTAATATATCATTGTAACACCTCGATTTCCATAATTGTATAAATTTTCAATACCATTACAAACACCTATTATATTGAATAACGGTCATTAAAATATTACTGGCATCTGTATATACACACACACACACATTTGATTACACAGCTTCCAGCTTTCTACAAACAGAGTTTCCTTATCATTACAAATTTTTTCGTTTTCATCACAAATTACAAAATTTCATTCGAGCGTTTGATAATATTCCATCAGCTCTGGGTGCAATACCAAAGTAAACGTTTTTGAAAATTATGTTTGCGTATCTGTGTCACTGATTTTTCTGAAAGTATCACCGTACACGATGTGTTGCATGGTGTCTTGTATAAGTCTAAGTTAATAATATTCATAATATGTGCTGTAACATAAAATTTGACTGAGGTAAACTGGACGCAATGTCACAAAGGAGATATGCAAGCGAACAATTCGCGAGTTTCATTCTATAAGTAATTTGGACGCAGATGATTTCGATGCTAGGAATCACACGTTTGAAAGTAAGATTTCGTTAAGGTGTTTTCAGTCGCAGACCCAGGACAGAGATACATGCCTAAGAATCTATGCGACTGTATTTCAAGTGGAAATTTACGCTATTGAATTTTGTGAGGAGAGAATGGAATAATCTAACTGCATATTCAAGTCAATAAAAATATTCTCGGACAGTCAAGCGGCGTTGGTAGCTCTTGGCTCCTACCGAGCAATGTCTAAATTGGTAGCAAATTGCCAAAAACGACTCTCCTCGATAGAAAGACTTAACATATTGTCTCTGGTCTGGATTCCTGGTCATACTGGCCTGGAAGGCAATGAGGCTGCCGACTCCCTTGCAAAAGAGGGTGCTGCAAGCAGCTTCATCGAACCAGAACCTGTCATTGGCTTCATTTTAGGCTTTGCCAAACAAACATTCAACACCTGGATGGCAAGAAGATTTATGGACTTCTGGCAGAATCTTCCAGGATTGGATTCAATTTTTAATGATACCAATTTAATAATCAACGTACAAATGAATTGATTTTATTTTCTTATACAAAAACCGGACTTCAAATTGAAAAAAAACATATTTGCTCAGAAGATTTCAAAAATTATTTCGACTTGAGAGAAAAGCATTATTTTATAAATGATTCAGTGCAAGTTTTTCACAGACACCACTGTCAAAAATGAAGAATTATGATGTGAAGCAGAAAATGCCTTCTGAAGTGTACTAAGTTTCAAAATAATATGTGGGGTGAAACCAAAATTGTCATAAAAAATTGTTTTTTCTAAAGTCTTATTTGTGGTAGAAAGTGTAGGCCTTTAGGATACATGTTCCTAAGGAGTTTTTTCTCGGAATGTCCAAAAAAATAAGATCTTTTAATATGTTTCATTGAGAATTTCTGATCTTCGGTCTTAATCAGAGTTTCGGAAGCTTCGAAAAAAAAAATAAGAGCGAAACCAAATACCTGTAGCTACTATCTATGATCATATTTTTTGTTAACTTACGGATTCTTCAATGAATTTGCTAATCTGCTGAGCATATTTCATGTTTGTTTTAAATTAGAGCAAAATCCACTATTCGAGATTTTGTAGCTTTCTCTGACCACCACTGAATAAAATAAATGTTGAAATTTAAAGAAAAGGAAAACTTTCTCCTGATGATGGCGCTAATCGAACGATATACGGCTGATCGGAACATTTGAATATGAAATATAGTTTATATGTTTATTGGTTGTTTTTTGATTACAGACAATCGAAGCCATGATATTTGTGAAAACAGCTGACAGGGCTTTGTTTTACCGTCCTAATATTACCGATAGACGTCCTACCTCGATGACTAACTTACCTATCGCAAAGGCAATATTAATCGTAAGCAACAAATATTCTGGATTATTCCTCTCAAAAGAATTCTTCTACGTCTCTGATATGTGGTAACGCATCATTTTTCAGTCACGACTTGTCAATTGCGAGGTTGCTATAGAAAGAACCCGCCAGATCAGGATCACAAACCGTTGAATAATTTTCGATTATCGATTATCGAAATGCGAGTGGATTATCTAGAGCAAATATATATAAAAAAAGGAGTGAACGTGTCATCTAAAAC